TTTTTTAATCAAACTGAGTAATTTGTCAAAGACACAGATTCCAAGGCCCCACACTCAGTCATTCTGATTGAGTAAACCTGAGCTAAAACTGCATTTTTAAAAACAATTACCTTAGAGGATCTGAAATCACAAGAGACCCTGGACCACACTTTGAGAACACTGTTAGGGCTATTGGGGAGTTACTCAAAAGGTTTAAGCAAGAAATTAAAAACAAAAGATTTGCTTGTCTGAATGTGCCAGATTAGGAAGAGGAAGAAGTTGAGGATGACCTACACCTTATACCTGATAACGTTCACATGTCTTATGTCCAATTCCCTTTGTGCCTTTGAAAGAGGTGGGGAAAAATGTTTTTTGAGATGTGTTTTTCTTTTTTGGAGGTTTCTTAAATATAAAAGAATTTGATCCCAGTACATTAATTTCTGTTAATTGAATTTAAGATATGGAATAAGCCCCTGGGGTAGATATTCTGAGGCAAGGAGCAACTTTCTAGAATTTTTTAAATGAGTGCATTCTCAACCTCTGAGTAATAGTCATTCAGCTACTGACCCATTATCAATATGGCATGTGCTTAGTGATGACTGATTTACATAGATGCAGCTAAATTCTTTTTCTTGTGTCCCTTGATAGTCAGAGGGATATTTTTGTGACGTAAAGCAACCAATACGATATTCTTCCAAACCGTAATTCCTATGGGAAAAAAATGACAAATTTTCTTGCAAAGTTGTTTTTCCATTGGTGTTCACGGAGCTGGAAAAAGAAAGAGGAAACTTTAGTTGGCCTTAACAGAGAATGGGAAAGTCCAAAAATCTAACACAAAATTAGCACAAGTTTTTTTCCTCATAATTGAAGTACTGAGGAAATGCCATAAGGTTTTTAATTTCCACAGTTACTAACTTCTTTGTGACCAGAGTGCATCCATTCATCAGATCAGCAAAAATTTTAAAGACTGACAACATAAGGTGTTGGCTAGGATTAAGAACGTAAGGACTCATTTACTTCTGGTAAGAATATAAGTCGGTGCCATCACTTTGGACAGCAATTTGGTGATATATAGTTAAGTTAAAGGTGTGCATACCCTTTGCCCCTGAAATTGCACTCCTAGGTAAATCCTTGGAGCAACTCTCTTACATGTGCTCAAGGACAGATGTACAAGAATGTTTATAGCATCGACTGTAATGGTAAAAAATTGGAAACGACCTACATTAGATCAATTCATAAATAAATTGTGATATATTCATACAGTGGATATAGCCATGAAAATAAATAGGTCTACATGCTGTTCATGGAATAATCTGACAAATAGATTGAATAAAAAATAGGTTGAATAAAAAAGCATGTTGCAGACGAATGTGTACGATCTGATGCCATTTATATCCAGATTAAAACTTATAAATACTATCATCGTGTGGGAAATTACCTTGCTGCAACGGAAGCCTGTAAGTATAATAATTGACAAGCTATCCAAGAGATCACACAACAGAAGGGCTTATAGACTAAAACAAGATGCTTAAATTACGTAGTTTATTAAATCAATTGAAAACACACAGCAAGAAGCAAGGTAAAAGATGGAGTAGGTTAACACGTTTAAGATATGCTGTAGACAAGGTGGAAAGATGACACTGCCTGAATGCTCAGTCCCATCTCTCTCTTCCTTGATAAGGGTATGCTTGCAAGGACCAGAGCTGAGATTTGAGTGAAGTGGACCAACATGTAGAAGGTGCCTAGGCTCAGAATACATTCACCTGATAGGTTTGGGGGCAAGTTCATCTGGCTGGTAGCTATAGTTTAACCAATTAGCCTGATGAGCAGCCATGGATTTTATTTTGCATCCTTTGTGCAGAGGATGTGAGGAGCCAAGGGTTGGCTGAACCGAGACCTCGTAATTAGTGAATGCCTCATATGCCTCATATATTTTCGGTGTGTCATGAATATTTGATGATTCACGTCTTCATATATATTTAGCGTATCACGACTACTAGGTATCTATTGCTCTTTCCATCCCTTTCTAATTATGTTCATTACACACATGCTCTATTTTATCTAGGTCTAACAGATCTCAGAGGTTACTAACATTCTTATTTAACATATTTTATGGATTTTGCTTGTCTCAAGCAATTTGCTTTGCTGCTTAGTTTCATTTTTCTCCCTATGTATTCATTTCTCTTATTTTCTATAGCAGAATCGGACATTCTTAAATAGGTCATCAAATACACAATACAAATACATGTATAATATGATTAAAATATAAAATAAATGCTTGGGAAGAATCATCCCCAAGTTCAGGATTTGGCTCACAGTGGTGGGGAGGGAAAGATATGTGTTCAGGATGGGGTTCACAGGGCTTTATATTAGTAATGTTTTCTTTCTTAATATGGATGGTGAGTGTATGGGCACTTATTATATTATTCTTTATAAGTTTTCACGTCTGAACTTTTTCCGATTAAAGAAAGTTTGAAATAGTAAATACCTGCTATGTGGCATGTAATAGGCACTTGATAACTATCATTTTGATTTTCATAAAGTTAAAGAATTTGACTGAACTAACTAAATTGATGTATTATTTTTCTGCTTGTGTGTACATATATTTTTCAGCAAATATTTGCTGAGTATGTACTATTTTCAAGGAGGGCATTGCACCAGTTGACGTGGAGAATAAAAAGTTGAGTAAAACAAAATTTTAATTTTATGTAAGAATTACTCTCAAGCTTGCAATTTAGTTGGGAAGTTTAGACTACTACAGAAATATAAACAATACAAGGGCATAATATAAATGCCTTTCGAGAAGTACAGATTGTGGTCAGAGTAGGTAGAGCTTCTACCAGAAGATGAGTACAGAACTTCACCTTTAAGAGAGAAGTACATTCAGAGGTAGATTTCAACAGGCAAACATAGTGAGGAAAGCATTCCAGGAAAAAGAAATACAATGGACAGAGAAAATAGGGCTTGTTCAGAGAGCAGCATCTTGTCCAAATTGTTATGTCAAGGGTGGCTATGGGAGAACAGTACAAGAGGGGGTTGGGGAGGTAAGTGAAGGCAAGAATCCCGTACAACATTAGCGGTGGGCTATCTATGGTTGAGATAATGGGCAATTTCAACTTTTTTCTTTGTAATAGTCTATGTAGTCAACATATTCTACAGTGACCACATATTAACAGTGACCGCAAAATTGGTCCCTGATGAAATAGTTGGATAATTTGAGTCTGGAGCTCCGACTATCTAGAAAGGCAAAGACAAATACTCTACCTTGCTCTTTTTGAGCTTTATCAGGGTATCCCATTATCAGAGTAGAATAACAAGGCCCTAAAGTAAAATTATCTTTAGGAATGGGCAAACATAAGTTTCCTGGTGTCCTGGCATCAACATAGGGGCCTAGACATTCTTGGAGGAATCACAGCACAGGGCTAAGCTGGAAGCGCCTTGGGATCTAGCCACACTGGCCCAATGCTATGCATTAGGGGAAAATGGTGACCATCCCCAGTATGTAAGGGACTCCAGATAAGCTGTAACTGCAAACTGCCAGGTCAGGTCAGGTGCCCCTCCCCACACCCCCAACCTGTGCTGGGCAGATGCCAAAACCAGCAAGGGCAGTAGCACAGCATGGATCGTGCACTTGTGAAAGGGTGACCTTTCCCTTTAGACCAATTCCCTCTGGACCTGGCATTGGAAACAACTCATCCTTGTCTTCCTTTGGACTAAGCCCTGGAAACTTTAGACAATTTGAGGAGAGTCTATATTAGATTTTCTGCTGATTGGGCAGGTAAGGATCTGAGAAATTAATTATAAAAGTAGAAGTTAGGACTATAGCAGTAAAATGTTTTGTGGATTAGGTCATACGATATTGGTCTATATTACCCAAATATTCTGCAATAAATATGTTAATTTATATTCAGATAGAAGGTACTTTTATGAGTTCTATCCAAGTTAACTTAAGAACACTACATATGATCTTTGATGCATAATCAATAGGAAAAATATTTGTATAAAGATTTCTATGCATTAATCTTATAAAATCACTAGATATTAAAACTGATCTCTGTCTCAGTAAGGTTTGTTTCCTTGACAGAAAGGACTTTGCTAAAACAACAACAACAAAAAGAATGTTGCTATACTCTCAACCTAGATAGCCTGGTTAAAGTTCAACATGATCATACCAAAGTCGGTAGAGTATTGTACGACCCATTCCACAAAACCAACAGAAGAAAGTTAAATTGTGTGTAAATCATCTGGCTAGATATGAAAGCATCTTGGAAGACACTGTTACTTTCTCATGTAGAACTCTGCAACATCCATGCAACATCTTTGAAAGAATTTAAGTTAGTCATACCTTAAAAATTCTTGAGATTTTTGTAGTTGATGATCATACTTGGCCTCTTGAAATATTAAATAAAATGTGGAAAGTAGTATAATCATTTCTGAATCAATACTGAGGTTTTTACTGAGATTGTTATTAAAGAAGACTGAATTCTTTCACCAGTGTACATCAGGAAAATATGGTACACTCTACTTCTATAATTTCCCCACTAGACCGAAAGCATCTAGGAGGTAGGGGATGTATTCTTGATAACTTTCAAACCTTAAGCATTTGACCTGGGATAGAGCATATAGCGGCTGTCCAATATTTGGTAAATTGCTGTTTTTTCCAGGCACAGCTATGAGAGATGCTCTGCATCATTCTGAATCAAAAATATATGTTCTGCTACTTGGATATGTTAAATAATTACTTGTGGGTTCTTAATTGTAGTTCGAATTCTTGAGAGTTTAGATAATTGGACTTGATAAAAGGGTTATGTGCTTTGTTATCAGAAAACTTGTGAAGTCAACGTTTGAGAAAAGATCTTTCATTGCATATAAGGAAAGTGAACTTAAGGCCAAGGATGGAAGCAGCCGGGTCTCCTGTGGAACCAAGAGACAGGAAGCCTGTAGGAAGCCAAGAAGCATGCTCTCTTTGTCTTCTCTTTGTTTTTCTCGCTGTATATTTATTTTTCTTTCTCTTTCTGCAGATGTTTACACTGCCTCATGGTGCACAGCCCCAAACACTGCCGACCCACGGTTCCCCAGTGCACGTCTTTTCTGTCGGAGAAACTAGAACCGACCGAGGTGAACATTGCTGTCTCAGTTCCAAACTTTCACGAGAGAGACTCTGATCCACCCAACTCAGGCCAAGGGGATACCCTTCACACAATATTTTGTGTGATAACAGACAGGTAACGGGCAATACAAAAGTGATTTTCTATTTAAACAAAAAAAAAGCGTACTCTGTATATATGTGCTGCTAGTGAAAAGCATATTGTACAGTGGGCTGTATATTCTCAGAGGTCTCAGAGTTTTCCTTCCTTGAAGGGTGAAGAGTAAGAACAGACAGGCCTCCCCTATCAAGCCCATCCTCTGGGAGGAGACTGAACATGCCCAGGATTTCAGTGCTGAGTCTGCTGGTCCTAGTGTCTTTTCCAGGCCCTTTCGGTTGGTGAAGTGTGCAGAGTCGAAAATAGAGTAAATAATCAGCAGAAATTTAGTGATGTCAAAGGAGCCAGTCCAAAGTCACGCAGTGATGCTATGCTTTTTAATGATGCCCAGGAACAAGGGGGGCACGACAGCCCCAGAGGCAAGTGTGGGAGCAGCTAGTGGGGCTACAGGCAGCAGGGTTAGAGGAGCTTGAGGGCAGGTGGCAGTAGCCCTCCTCTCTGCAGTCTGTTTCGCTCTGCTTATTAGGTTGGCACGCGGATTGAAAAATGTTCGTCTGTGTCTATTTCTGGCTTTTAAATGTGTGAAGGAAACACATAACTTTATTATTTTATTTTTGTCAAGTTAAAGACAGAGACAGATGCCCCTAAAGCATACGCATTTTATAAGGAGTTTCTATTCTATGATGGCACATCTTTGGAAGCAAAAATCAAGGACAAATAGGTCATCTCCTCTAAGTTTTCCAGAGGAATATTGGCAATAAAAAGAATAGAGTCAGCCCTGGTAACTAATAGAGATGAGGGAAATCAAACCAGGGAAGATGTTCAAAGTTTTTTAAAAGAGAACTTTTAAAGGAAAAACAATGAAGTAAGTGTTGATGTAACATGAATATGTTATTAATTGTTAAATGCCAAAAGTACTGCAGATATAAATACTGTTTTAAAATAGAAACATGAACACTTGCAGAAATTCCCTCCCCAGAGGTGTTTGGAAATCTTCAAAGCTTGATATCCTTTTATGAATGGTCAGTCAGAGTATATCAAGAATGAAAGAAATCTGGAAAAATAAAAACACATTACCAATACAACAGATATATTCCTAGGAAGGATTGTTATAATAAATTTAATTTCAACTATAGTGCCTCAAAGAAAAATCGAAGAAAACCTTATAAAACAAAATTTATTTATTTATTCAAAAAATATTTTTGAGCACATACTATGTGTCAGGCATTGTGCTAAGCATGGGGAACATACTGGTAAATAAGACGGATGCTGTTCCCACATGCATGTCCTTGTCCAAACTTTGAGTTGAACGGGAAAAATATCATAATCACTCAATCAAATAGCTACAGAGGACCTAAGAAATTAGTTAGTCCAAACTTTTGTTTTACAAATGAGGAAACTGAGTCCCAAAACATTGTATAAATGAAACTGGCTGTCCTCTTGGCCTGTTTTTTTTTTTTTTTTTTTGTCTGAAAGAAACATTCTTGTCTAAAAATCTCAAATTGTATGCTATATAACAAATGTAGCCATTAATCCATTTAAAAAATACTCTTTATAGACTTTCAATATTCCTATGCATTTCTGGAAATAAAAGGAAATCAAGTGAAAAAAAATCCCGAGGTCTGATTTTCAATATCTAATCCAATTTCTTTCAGGAAATGTTAGCCATGTGATTCCTATTACCGTCAGAAACAGTCATATTGTGTGATGCTGACCATCTGTTTAAGATATGGCAGACACACTTGGAGAATCCAGAATAATGGGAACTCAAAACCACCATTGATAAGAGAGGTTATTGGTCTAAGAAGATGCCGCTTTGGTCAGATGTGGATGAGGCACTATTAGATGGACCATCTGGATTTCACGCCTACCTGTGCTCTAGACTTCATGTGATAACTGTGTGTCCGTTGGTTGTCTGACCTGGGGTTGTACTGTACTGTTGGCACAATGCTTGCCACCCATGAGGATGTTGTGACAGTTGCTGAAGTAAACGCTATAAAGCATTCTGAGCAATTCGAAAGAAGGGTGCTATATAACTACCCAAACTCATTACACTCCCACAGGTACGGCTCTTTTTGAAAAATATATTCTTAGTATGATAATACAAAAAGGCGTTCCTCAGGGTACATTTGAATATCTCTGTGCGTTTCATTCCATTTGTTATTCATTCTGACTTTTAAATTGATTATTATTTTCAGGTTATTAACCTGACACTAGAAGGGACCTATCATTAATTTAATAATTTTATGTCACCATGTTTGAAAAGAGAAGTATTTAGGTCTCTAGAGGCTCCCTGTTTGTTAATCTATAATTAAAACGAATATGGTCATGATTTCCTATCAGAGTCCGGATCATTTGGCCATGGACTCAGATATGTTGGAAGCACATGTTTGAGTGTTTATTTGCTTGGGTGACTTGCACTGAAGCCTCAAAATTACTTAAAAAAAGAAAGAAGGAAAGAAAAAGCACAACTAAACACAAGCTAATAAATGCAAATGCCTGACAGCATTGAGGGATGATGGTGACCTAAACCATCACAGATTATTTTCTGTACGGCTCTTTATTTTCCTTCTTTCCTTTCTTCTCTCTTTTCTTCCTTCCTTCCTTCCTTCCTTCCTTCCTTCCTTCCTTCCTTCCTTCCTTCCTTCCTTCCTTCCTTCCTTCCTTCCTTCCTTCCTTTCTTTAATAACAGGTTTATTGATGTAATTCACATGCCAAAAAATTTACCTTTTCAAAGTTTGCAATTCAGTGGCTTTAATACAGTCATATGGTTCTACCAACATCAGTAAAGATTCCATAACATTTTCATCATCCCAGAAAGAAATCCCTTACCCATTAACAGTCATTCCCCATTCTTCCTCCCTGGAGCCCCTGGCAACTGCTAATCTACTTTCTGTCTCTATGAATTTGCCTATTCTGGAAATTTTATATAAATGAAATAATAAAATATGTGTTTTTTAGTGTCTTGCTTCTTTCACTCAGCATAATACTTTCAAGGTCCATTCATCTTCATTCCTTTTCACGGCCAAAAAACGTTCTATTGTATAGATACACCATATTTTGTTTATCCATTTATCAGTTGATGGACATTTGAGTTCTTTATACTTTTTAGCTATTATGAATAATGTTATTATGAATATTAGTGTACAATTTTTTGTGTGTGGACACATGTTTTCAATTCTCTGGATGGATATCTATGACTAGAATTCCTAGGTCATATGGTTCTCTATGTCTAACTTTTTGAGGAACTGAAACTGCCTTCGAAAGTGACTGCATCGTTTTACATCTCCACTAACAAAGAATAAGAGTTCAAATTTCTTTATACCCTTGCCCACTTATTATTGTCTGAATTTTTGTTGATAGCCATGATAGTGAATTGTGAAGTGGTATCTCACAGTTTTGATTTGCATTTTCTGAATGACTAATGATGTTGAGCATTTTTTCATGTGATTGTTGGTCATTTGTATATCATCTTTGAAGAAATATCTATTCGAGTCCTTTGCTTATTTTTAATTGGGTTATTTTTGTTTTTATTATTGAATTTTAAGAATTCTTTATATTTTCTGGAATAAGTCCCTTATCACATATGTGATTTACAAATGGTTTGTCTCATGGGTTATTTTTTTCAGTTTCTTGAAGTGAAGCACAAAAGATTTTAATTTTGATGATGTTTAATTTATCTTCTTTTGTTGTTATTGTTTGTGCTTTTGGTGACATATCTAAGAAACCATCTCCTAATCCAAGGTCACAAATATTTATTTCTATGTTTTCTTCTAAGAGTTTTATAATTTTAAGTCTTCCATTTAGGTCTTTGATTCATTCTGAGGTAGTTATTCTATATGATGCAAGGTCAGGTCCAATTCCATTCTTTTGCATGTAGATATCTAGTTGTCCCTTTTAATTGTATTGGCTGGCTCCTTGTAGAAAATCAATTGGCTATAAATATGAGATTTTATTTCTGGACTTATAATTCTGATCCATTGATCTACATGTCTATTCTTATGCTGCTATGACACTGTATTGATTACTGTAGCTTTGTAGTAAGTTTTGAAATAGAGAAGTGTGAGACAATTTCTGCAAAAAAAAAGCCAGCTGGAGTTTTGATATGTATTACATTGAATCTGTAGATGAATTTGAGGAGCACCACCATTTTAACAATATTAAGTCTTCCAATCCATGAACCTGGGGTGTCTTTCAATTTATTTAGACCTTCTTTAATTTCTTTCAAGGATGCTTTAGAGTTTTCAGTGTACAAATTTTCTATTTATGTTGTTAAATTTAGTCCTATTTTATTCTTTTTGATGCTACTGTAAGTAAAATTGTTTTCTTAGCTTTGATTTCATATTGTTTATTACTAGTATGTAGAAATATATTGATATTTGTACATTGATCTTATATTCTGCAACTGACATTGTTTATTCTAATATTTTTAGTAGATTCCTTAGGATTTTCTACATACAAAATCACATCATCTACAAATAAAGATAGCTTTACTTTTTTCTTTCCGATCTGGATCTATTTCTTTTTCTTGCCTAATTGACCCATGTAGAGTGTCCAGTACAGTGTTGAACAGAAGTGGCAAGAGTGTCTTTTTCCTAATCTTAAGCAGAAAGCATCTAGTATTTCACCATCATGTATGTTGTTGTGAGTTTCTTGTAGATGACTTTATCAGGTCAAGGAAGTTCCCTGCATAGGTCTCTTTAAATGTCATTGATGGGCAGGGTCGAATTATTAAAACTAATGAGATCTGAAAGTTGTTTTAGGATTTCATGTCTTTTTCAATATTATAATAAGATGTGGAAACAATGCCCACTAGAGACAGGGTATCTATTTTTTCTGGGAAGGGCTAAATGTCGCAAGACCTTTTCTATATCTCCTCCTATCCCCAAGCATTCTTCCTTATCTCCCACCACATGAAAACATTAGTAGGTAAATAGCTTTTTTCCGTACTATTTTTATGATTGTAGGATGTGGTACATTTGTGCACAACTTTCAATAACACATATGCCATGAATGTTACATAAAATAAGCTGCAGGAAGTCAGTAAAGTTGTCAACTCTGGAAAACCATCTTAATAAACTTCTGAGAAAAAAAAGACATTATCAAACCCAACTGAGAGCTTAGTTCTCAGGGGATCTGGGAAATTAGGTCTTAGTCCACATCTTGGGGAAAAATATTGCTGATTTGATGGTGATGGTGATGATGATGCAGCACTATCAATTTACAGTATAAGAGCTGCCAGGTCCTACATGGTACCTTTAAGAAGATGAGGCCCAAGAGCCAATGCAGGACTCACCAGCCAGGTGAAAAACAGTCCCAGCGAGGGAAAGCACAGTATGACAGAATTAATTAAATGGCTTTGTTTAGCTACTATTCTCCAACTTCCTGTTGCCTGTTAACTTGAAATTTTCCCCGGTGGCCAGTATTCATTTCACACTCTCAACTTTTAGCACTTTGCCTTTAGCTTTGTTTAATGCTTAGGGACCAAAAAGTACTGGCCTTGGCTGCCGTATGAACCTCTCCCTTAGATGGCAGAATAGAAACACCACATGTCTCCTGTTTTCTGGAACTGACCCTGCACATACATCAGGTTTGAGTCTGTTCAGCCTTGCATTATTTACTTATGACAATTACAATCTGAAAAGCAAACCATAATGTTAAAAAAATCTTTAAAGTCCATCTTATGTGCTTTCAGATCCCAGTATCAAATGGTTTGCTGTGTGTCTTAATAGCAAGACTAATTCTGCCCTTTGAATGGAGAATCAGTTTTGCTACCTCTGTTAGATTATCCTTTGCTTATTTTCATTCCTCCAACCACCAACGTTTTAGGCAAGAATTACAGGAATAAAAAGAACGCTAAAGAAACAAAAAATCTTCCTCTGCTTTTAGGTGAAACTATAACATGATAAAATGGTGGAAGGGAGGGAGGGAGGGATGATAGAAGAAGGAAGGATTGGGATACGTGAAAACTCACAACAGTACTATGCCTTTTTCTCATGTGGCCTCCCTAAGACTCCCAGGAGAGGGATTTTCATTTAGCTACTTGACGATAAAACTCAAGTCCTGATTTTCAGGCATTTTAAAGAAAGGACAATAGCTCATGTCATAGTAAAAGCCTAAAAACGGAAATAAGCCGATCATGAAACTCTAACAACCATTTCCAAAATTGAATCATAGAAATGTAGGCTGAATACTTAATAGTGATAATCATGTTGATGAAGATAAAGAAGACTGTACTGCAACCAAAGAAACCATTCGATTTCCACATGGCTGTCCTAAGAGAAATGAGGCTCTAGACTAAAAGAAGTAGCAAAACTTGTTTTTGAAAATGTATAATCTTGTTATTTTCCAAGAATTTGTATTTGGAGTTTTATTCTGAGTAAATTTCCTCAGAAAAACATTATGTTCTCTGAATCTGAGGCTGTTCCAAGGGCTAATAGGGTCAGAGAAAGAAATGGAAATGACACTTAGAAACTAAATAGGAGTCAAATGGAAATTCTGGGCAAGTGAAATGTTTTTCAATCAATATATATTCCTAGCCTCTCTGATAGGGGTAATTCAGTTTGAGACTAGGGTGGGGTGAGATGCTGTAGAATGGAAATGAAGTAAATTCTGGTATCCTTAAGACCATAGGACTAGAAAGGGAGCGCAAGAATATAAAATCCACCTTTTGTTCCTCCATCTGAATTGCCCTAAACCATTTCCAAATAGAGAATACTTTCTTAGGAATGATTCTCAGGAAAAAAAAAAAATGATGACTGAGTCTCTAAATAGAGCCTGACTTCAGATGATATAAAGGCCTTGGGTCGTGGGCTTTAATTAAATTGAAGTGGAGTGGGTTACCTAAAGGCTCAGATGTTTATACATGTTCATAATCCAACTATTCAAATACTCTAAAAATTATGTTTAGGAAAAGTCATAAAATATAGCTTAATCTTAATAATATGATTAGTAAGGAGAAATTTTTTTGAGAAATCTCAGAGTTTAGGATCAGGAACTCAGCACATAGCTCCTGTGTGTGTAAGATAAAGGCTAGAGGAGGGATTCAGAAATACAGTTTCCTTCAATCAAAAAGAGGAGTCACTGCTATGAGTATTCCCTCTGATGTTTTGAGGTTGTGAGGAGATCTCCATGCTATATAAACCACAATTTGTGAAGCCCCATATTTATGTAAGAGTTTACAATTCTATTCAAATACAACTTGAGAGAAGATTTAATTTGAACACATTTTATTATATACTGAATTATTGCACTGCATAATAATTAGACATAAATATTAACTTTGTATTTTTTTCTTCTCATTTTGCTGTTTCTTCAACATCTAAAACTTAAGTCAATGTTAATTGTGTCCCTAAATGCCAAGTACTACTTAATCATCATTCTTTTTCTTCTTAACTTTATCCTCATGTACATGCTTATTTGGTTCAGTATCTGCCCCTCAGTACCTGAGCCCATTCTCCTGGCCTGGAGTTTTCTGTGCCTAAGTATTTTATCCCAACACCCCTCTGCTGTTCCCTCATCCCATCTACCCATACTCCAGGGTTTGAGCAACTGTTTGCTGCTCCCATTTCTGCCCGTTGTGTCTTGGATGATGAAAGCCTTAAGGTGGCAGGAACTCTAGGCCATGACATTAAATTGCGGTCTTCAACAGAAAGACAGCAATAAAGTTACTGTGTTGTAGGTGGGGAAGAGAGAGACCAGGAGTGCCAAAATGGAGGGTGAAGAATGGAAGGGAGGGAGCGGACCTCATGACCATAGGCTGGGGATTCCTGGAGACCTTAGATTACTCTCTAAATGATACAAAAGTGCCAATAGCATCCCAGCACCAGGAGAACAAAGCTAGCAAGAGAAGATCTCTTTTGGACTGTAGTAGACAATATGATATGTCACCCAGGTCCCCTTCCAGGAATGAAGGCCTTATTCCCCCAGATACCAGAGTGCTGGTAGTCAGCATCTCTCAGTTGTCAACCTTCTGTAGAATTTTCTAGACTGAAGAGAGCTCCTTTGCCCTCAGTCACAGCCCCTCAGAGCATCCTGTATCCAATGACTGGTCATATATAAAGACCATTCCCTTAACCCCAGGATAGAACATCTCTGAAGATCCATCTCAGCTTCAGAGGTCACTGTGAGGATCATTGAGGCTTTGCTTGAGACTACGTCACAACCCAGCTTCTCCCTCTGCCCATGCTTCTTTCTCTTCCTGTCCAAGGTGGTGATGCCAAGAACATTGCCTAATACAATCTATAACCCAGTCTTCATCTCGGTCTGTTCCCTGAGGAATACAACCTGCAGGACTGAGTGTGCATATCTATAAAAACACAGTGCTTATCACACCAAAAGCAGAGGCAACAAAAGAAAAAATAGATGAATTGGATTTCATCAAACTTAAAAACTTTTGTGTATCAAAGACTATCAACAGAGTGAAAAGGCAACCAAGGAATGG